CAGGCCAAGGTCAGCCACCACCTGTGTTCTGCCTTGGGCCACGAGGCGTAAGTTACAAAGTGATCTGCAGATGGCTGCTACTTGTGCTGGGCTTGGAGGGTAAGGCAAGGCCAAGCTGTAAACCAGTTCTTGCTACTGCTAGTGCCAGGCCCGGGGCCATTTAGAAAGAGATATGGGCCTCACTGGGGCCAGATGCTGCTTGTTTGAGAGATTTTTGGAAAATGTGAAGCATGAGCCAAGACAGGCCATTTCTATGGTAAAACCACTAGAAATAGCTTGGGTGGGCCCAAAAGTTGGGTGGGGCAGGGTCTCAAAATCAGCTGGGTGGGGCAAACAGTATGAGCCAGGTTGATGGAGACTCAGATATGGCACTGGTCTGTTGGCTCTGTGAAGGCAGGGCTCACCAAAGGAACAACGGCCTCTGCCAGCACTTCTGTCTGGGAGGAAGGTGCCCCTCCAGCTCTCACCCTGATGCCAGACAGTTCTGTTCTTCCCCATATGTCTCTGACGCCTATCAAGCTGCTGTCCAGTGCTGGAGCTCAGAGGGAGTGAGTCTGAATGTCTGCACATGGGCCCTTTAACAGGAACTGCCTGGGACTCCAGCAGCCTCAGCGTCCTTCAGCCTCAATCCCCACTGGTTTTTATAGCCAGAAGTTGTGGGGACTTCTCTTCCTGGCACTGGAACCCTGGGCTGGGGGTCCTGGTGTGGGGCTGGTACCCCTCGCTCCTCAGGGGGAACTTCCACAGCCGAGATAACCCTCTTGATTTTTATTGGCCATACATGGGTGTGGGACCAGCAGATTCCAGGATTCTTACCTGTGTCTCTGCCCCTCCTACCAGTTTCGATGTGGCTTCTTCTTTAATTTCATAGTTGTAGGACTTCCATTCAGCTCAGTTTCAGGTGGTTCTGAATGATGGTTGTTCTGTAGTTTAGTTGTAATTTTGATGTGGTTGTGGGAGGAGGCGAGCACCGCATTTACCTACGCTGCCATCTTGGCCAGACAGGTGAATATTTTCTAATCTTGGAATAAGCAAACATTTCCTAGAGAAGGCACAGAAAGCACTAACCAAAAAAATAAAATGAAATAAACTGGATTTCAAAACTTTAAAAACTTCAGTTCATTATAATACCATTAAGAAAACACAGACTGGGAGAATAAACAGAACTTTTACATCATAATACATATAGGAAGTACAATAAAAATAATATTCCATTTATGATATAACATATAAAATACTTCAATTCCAGGCATGAAGTTCTAATAATAAAATAAAAGGGAAAAATAACTAGAAATTTATTCTTTATACTTCATTGTATAGATCATAATAAAAAGGACAACACTTTCTAATTTAGTAAAGATATTTTAATGAAAGACTAATTTTTCTCAGGATATTTTAAATAACATTTTAAAATGGGATTTTCAAGTTTTAAATAACATTTTAAAATGGGATTTTTTTGCTTTTAGTTTATTGACTTCTGTTAATAGTGCATTTTTTATCAGATTGAGTTGGGGCAATCAGGAAGTCTATAACTGGCCTTTGATTTGCTAGTGGATATTCAAACAAACCTTCAAAATAAGGTTAGGAATACTGGAATAAAAATTAGACCATGGATAGTCCCAAATACCATAACAAGAAACATAATCTTAAAAAAGGTCCTGAAGATGTATGCTTTAGCTGCAGATAAAACACACACCCCTATTACTGTTGAAATTGCACTTTGTAACACAGGGTAGCCTAGCATATACAATGCCTCAATTGCTTTTTGGTTTACTGAGGGCTCAGAACTGGAAACAAATGCATAAGAAATGTGTGCAGAGAAATCAAACGAAAACCCGATACAAATGACAAGATTAATCATGGATATGGAATCAAGATTGATGTTCCAGAATGCCATGAAACCTGTTACTCCTACAATAACAGAAGTAATAGCAAAAGTTACCCACAAGGAACACAGTGGATTAGGGATTAACAGTAAGGAAACAATGAACATAGCTGCTGATGCAACGATGACATTTCGAATAGTGTTTTCTATTATTGCAGTATACTGATCAAAATATATGAATGCCTGGTTATATACCATGAGGGGAATTTCACACTTTTCGGCCAAGTCTCGTAACTGGATTAACATCTTCTTCTTATGGGTTGAAGTAGGAATACCTATGGTCTGAATGAAGGCCCGGGAAGAAATGATTTCATGTGATGATGACATATTAATATCATACTTAAAAAGTGGGAAATCCACAAAAAAGCTGGAAATGCTGGTTATAAAAGTATTCTTATCATTTATATCTTGTCTTTGATGTTCCATATATTCCACATATTCTCGTAACCAAGACTCTGTAAGATTATTATGTACATAGTGGTTGTTTTCAAAATCTGCCAGACATTTTTCCAATTTTTGCCTAGCATCTTTATCCCAGTAGTTAAGAGTTTCAGTAACAATAACCATCACCTTGGGACCATATTCTGGAAAATACTCTTCTTCTACATCAAAATATGGTGAAATGTAGGAATTGTCACTTGCCAAATTCCGAAGGTCTAAACCTTCCTCCACTTTGAGACACCCACATATACTACTTATGAGGTATATAATGTACAGAAGCACTACAAAATACTTGGTCTTAGTGCTTGTGAGAAAAGGGCCAAAATAGTCTCTAAAGAACAAATTCATTGGATGAACATCAGCTTCCTCTTCATCTGGGAGAGAATTAAATGGGAGACAGCAGCACCTTTTTAATGAGGAACATTTAGGGGAAAGGGTATCTGTCTTTTTTAACCAATGTAGACAGACTAATTCTCTTTTACCATCCAGGGCCATAAACGCTCCAAAACAGGTGATGTTGTAAATATAACAAAAGAGCAGGGTTGTTCCTGTATAAATGCAAAAGTACTGTATAGACCTGAAAGAGGTCATAATCCCTGTATAGAAAGCCAGGATGTTAGTGAGAGTGGTGATTGTAATGGACACTGCCACTTTTGAATAGACACTGCACATACGCTGTTTTATGCTATCCACGAGTTTGGTCTTCTGCCAGCCAGAAATCATGATAAATATGTCATCAACCCCAACACCTGTTAAAAAAAAAAAAAAGGAACAGAATCTTCATAAATATTAATATCCATTAAAAAAATTAAACAGATTGCCCTGGCCGGTGGGGCTCAGTTGGTTGAGCATCATGCCCTGCACTGAGAGGTCACCGGTTCGATTCCCAGTTATGGCACATGCCTGGGTTGTGGGCTCGATCCCCAGTAGGGGGTGTGCAGGAGGCAGTGGATGGAAGTTGTGCTCTCACATTGATGTTTCTCTCTCTCCGTTCCTCTCTCTCAAAATACCAATAAAAATATATTTTAAAAAATTAAACAGATCAATTTAAACTCTTTTCTTGGTCCATTTCTTAAAGTCTTATTTATCTTGCTCAATCTGTGCTTTGATGCTACTTTCTCTGATTCTTTTTTTTTTTTTTTTAAGTGTATCTTTATTGATTTGAGAGAAGGAGAGGGAGAGAGAGAGAGAGAAACATCAGTGATGAGAGAGTCACTGATCAGCTGCCTCCTGCACTCCCCCAACTGGGTATCGAGCCCGCAACCCGGGCATGTGCCCTGACTGGGAATCGAACCTTGATCACCTGGATCCTAGGTCGACGCTCAACCGCTAAGCCACGCCCAGCCAGGCATCTGATTCTTTCTTTTGTTGCCTCTGAACCCATAATAGAATTCATCACTCCCTCTGTAATAACTCTGTGCTTCGTACATGCTCCTGTTCTTCACATGTAGCACAGGATATTCTACTCTTAGTCGGCATTTAGGGTGTTTCAGTGATGAATAGGGAAATCTGGTTGACTGGTTGTTAGTCAAAGCAGTGTTAGCAATGCTTCTTTGATTCTGCCAGGATACCAGAGAAACTGTTTTCTCTCAAGCCATTTCACACTAATGCACAAACACAATGAGCCAATATTCTGTTGCTTAAAATATAAGCTGGACTTAGACGTGTCCTACAGTAAGCATCTAGCTATCAATGTGGTATGATGTGAGAGGCACCATATAGTTTATAGACATATACACACAGTTTTCCTGCTGGGCTGTTTTTGATAGCCAGAATGTTATCATTCAAACTTCACTTGCCCAGTTTAAGGCCTTATCTCATTAAAATGAAAGTATCCTTGATATCAGAAATATGTCCCAAAGTAAATCTCAAGGGTCCTTTAAATATTAACGCCTACTAGGTAATTAGTTGTTTCCCACAATGACATTTCATGATTGGTTTGGAATAAAGCAGACTTTGAAACCATACTAAAGACTGGGAATAGAGGACTACAAAGAAGAAAGGGGATTAGAAAGAACAACATGAACATGTTGCAGATAAATTCTACCTCCTCAAGCTTTCTAATAGAGCTGATACTACTTTCACTCATGGACATATTTGTTTCTGTGTGTACTGATAGAATCAATACTTGGAACTGAAATGCTGATCTTAATTTAAATTTTGGGAGATTATGGATTGCATGAGAGGGTACTGGGGATTGCAACTTTAAATTGATATTCTCTGGGTATAATCAAGGTAGAAGGATCTAAAGTAAAAATCAAAAGTACTAAGAATCAAGAATGAACTCACTGATATTTATTAGGTATTTAAAAACTGGTTTTGCCCTAGCTAGTTTTGCTCAGTGGTTAGAGCATCAGCCTGCAGACTGAAGGGTCCTGGGATCAATTCCGACCAAGGGCACGTACCTTGGTTGCAGGCTCAATCCCTGGCCCCAGTCGGGAGTGTGCAGGAGGCAACCAATCGATGTGTCCCTACCACATCGATGTTTCTCTATCTTCCACTCTCTCTGAAAAGCAATGAAAAAAATATCCTCAGGTGAGGATTAAAAAACAAAACTGGTTTTATCATTTATAGAACACTGTTAAGAAATTATCCACATGCAGTTCTTGAGTTGCTGCAATCACAAACACACTCACACACATATACACTCACACTCCTATGTACGCACAGACTACAAAAACGGTTTATATTAAATCAGTTATACACACTTTAGTTATTTATAGTTGTGGGGAAGACTGAATGATTAAATGTGTGTATGAGGAAGGTGTGCCCTGAAGGGCTAGAACAAATAAACTGACATCCAGTATACAGGTGACCCACTATCTCCCCCAGGAAACCAAATATTATTTCTTCCAAGTTGTTTACTTTCCAAAATATAAAAACTTTTGTTTTCTCATGCTTATTCTAAAATAAATTCTGAAATTAAAGAAAAATACAAACAAGAATTTAAATGGCTCTAATTCCACCCTCTGGGGATAATTCTGGTTAACATTTTGATGTTTATCCATTCAGAATTTGCTCTATAAAAACATATAGATATAACTGGACCACTCTATTTCAAACATCATATTTCATAACCAGTATTTTTCCATTTAATAGTATTTATCTACTTTTTTAAAGATGGAAAGTGATTCCAAAATTTTAATATGCGATATATATATATATATATACTTATATATTAAAATATATCTTTATTGATTTCAGAGAGAGGAATGGAGAGGAAGAGAGACAGAAACATCAATGGTGAGAGAGACGTCATTGACTGGCTGCCTCCCGCATGCCCCCGATGGGGGATTGAGCTCGCAACACGGGCATGTGCCCTGACCGGGAATCGAACCCCAATCTTCTGGATCCTAGGTTGACGCTCAACCACTGTGCCACGCCCAGCCAGGCAATTTGCTATATTTTAATTGACCAATCCCATGTTCATATATGGGATAGGTTGTTTCAATATTTTCCTAACCCTAAATCACACCAAAACAAACATACTTGTTCTAGTTTTTGAGCACTTGTCTAACTAATAGGAAAAATTCCTAGCAGTGCAATTAGTAGGTCAAAGGTATTCCCTTTTCAATTTTTAAGTCTTTTGGTTTGTTGAAAAGTTGTACTAAAAGAAAGTGTGTACTAGTTTAAAATTTTCCTCCATTCATTTGCACACAACTCTCTCTAAACCTTCGATCTTACTAATTTTTATTAATCTAATAAGAAAACAAGGTGTTTCACTTTTGGTTTAATTTGAATCCCTTGATTAATTGAGAAATCAAGTATTTTTTTCTTATATTTTCAACTTTTGGGGTGTGTGTATGTGTGTGTGTGTGTACTGCCTATTCATGTTCCTTGTATTTCCATTTGGGGTGTTTGATTTTTCCAACTCTAAAGATACGTAATTCAATTTGATTTGATTTTTCCTGACATCTCATTTTGGATCTGTAGAGCCACCTAAACATAATTATTTTCCTTAATGTAACATAAGCCCCTCCCCCTATCTATTCTACACCCCCATATACACAGTATGTAGCCTCATATTTTGTTTTACTCACCTAGAATAAGAAATGGTGAATTTTTAACTATGGTCACAAATGGCACCCCAATGTGCAACAGCAGGCCAAAGCCACTCAACACTGATAAGGCAGTAGAAATCACTCCAAAAACTGCAACGCACATTTTGTTTCGTACACAGTCACGCCTGTAAATTTGGAGGAAAAAAATCATGGAATTTGTGGTGGTAGCTTTCATACCGAAATGCCATCAATTCATAACATTCTTGACTTAGACATGTATTCAGAAACCTCTTGGGCAATAATTCTCATACCTGTCTGCTGGAGACATTTAATTCCCAGGCACTATGCAAGTCAACTGGGGGCAAAAGGAGCAGAAAAGTTGGGAATCTGTACTTTTACTAAACTTCCCTGGGAGATTCTTATTTATTGATTTTAGCAGGAGAGAGGGAAGGAGGGAAGGAGGGAGGAAGAGAGGGAGAGAGAGGAACATCAGTTTGTTGCTCCACCTACTTATGATGCACTCATTGGCTGATTCTTTTATGTGCCTTGACTGGGGATTGAACCCACAACCTTGGTGTACTAGGATGATGCTCTAACCAACTGAGCTACCTGGCCTGGGCCCCTGAGTGATTCTTATATAGCTAAACAAGCACTAATCCACTGGCTGGCATTTAAGAATCATAAAGTTACAATAAAACACTGCAGATTGTTAATTTCACTCTGATGGTCAAAGGGGTGTGAATGGAATACAACAGAAGTTGAGGGCAAGTGGCAGCAGAGTCAGTACCTATATCCAAGTACTGACTCCCAACCTCTGACTCCAGCTAGCCAAAACCACAATCCTCAATAGCTCCTGTGTTTCAAAGCTAGGTCAATATGTATTGTGGTTAACAACACATATGAAAAGCCTCCTTCTAAAGTATTTTCAGGGTTCTCCTCTCCTGGTGAAGTGGGCTCTAGAGAAGTGGCTACTAAATGCAAAATAATTTTTAAATAACAAAAACTATGCCTGCTTTTTTTTGTTGTTGTTGTTGGACAAGCATAAATGGGGAAATATACACAACATTTTAAAGCATGGATTCAATACTTTACCTCCTCAACAACCACAACAGTACATTTTAATATACTAACAACAACCTCTTGTTTTATATTTTGTTTGTTTAATTGCTTCAAAACAAATGACTGATCCCTGCCTCTAGATATCTTTAATAGAAGAGAGAAACTATGTTTGGAATGAAGACTAGGAAAATCAACTATGGAAATGGAGCCACTGATTCCAAAACAGCAAGAGCATGACTAAAGACCTTCTTCAGGTAAGAACACCACATTAAAATAGCTAAAATTTCTTATATTTAAAAAAAATTCTACACATGGCTGTATTTTACTTATTTATTTGTTTTTTAACATTTTAATATTTCAATTACATTTGACATACAATATTATATTAATTTTAGGTGTAGAACCCAAGTGATTAGACATTTATATAACTTATAAAATGATCGCCCCATTAAATCTAGAACTCATGTGACACCATACATAGTTTTTACTATATTATTGACTATATTTCCTATGCTGTACTTAACATCCCCATAACTGTTCTGTAACTATCAATTTGTACTTCTTAATTCCTTCCCGTTTTCCACCCATCCCATTAACCCCCCTCCCATCTGGCAACTGTCAAAACGTTCTCTGTATCTATGAGTTTGTTTCTGTTTTGCTTGTTTTTTAGATTCTATATGGCATTCGTCTTTTCTTTCTGTGTCTGACTTATTTTACTCAGTACATTACTCTCTAGGTCCATCTGTGTTGTTGCAGGTGGCAAATTTTTTTTTTTTTTTTTTTTTTATGGCTGAGTCATATTCCATTGTATATATGTACCACTTCTTCACCCATCCATCAATTGATGGACACTTGGGTTGCTTCCATATTTTGGCCATCATAAATAAAGCTCCAGTGAACACATGGATGCATATGTCTTTTTGATTTAGTGTTTTGGGTTTCTTCAGATAAATATCCAGAAATGGAATTTCTGGGTCCTTCTTTGTCTCCTTTTATAGCCTTTGCTTTAAATTCTATTTTGTCTGGTATAAGGATCGCTACTTAAGCTTTTTTTGGTTTGTTTTCTTGAAACATCTTTTTCTTTTTTTTACAATTTTGCAGGGTTTTTTTAAAATTTTATTTTTGTTTAAAATATTACAGATGTCCCTTTTGCTCCCCAATGACCCGTTCCACCCTGTCTCATCCCTTTCCCCAGTCCCTCTCCCCACCATTGTCCGTGTCCTTGGGTTGTGCATATATGCATATAAGTTCTTTGGTTACTCTCTCCTCCTCCACCCACCCACTCTCCTCCATCCCTCTGACCTTCCTCAGTCTGATCTATGCTTCCATGCCACTGAATCTGTTCTGTTCATCAGTTTATTAAGTTCTTTAGATTCCATGTATAAGCGAGATCATGTGATGTTTGTCTTTCTCTGCCTGGCTTATTTCACTTAGCATAATATTCTCCAGGTCCATCCATACTGTCCCAAAGGGTACGAGATCCTTCTTCTTTACAGCTGCGTAGTATTCCATGGTGTAAATGTCCCACAGTTTTTTCATCCACTCATTTACTGATGGGCACTTGGGCTGTTTCCAGATCTTAGCTATTGTAAACTGTGCTGCTATGAACATAGGGGTGCATATATTCTTTCTGATGAATGTTTCAGGATTCTTAGGATACATTCCTAGGAGTGGGATCACTGGGTCAAAAGGCAGCTCCATTTTTAATTTTTTGAGGAACCTCCACACTGTTTTCCATAGTGGCTGCACCAGTCTGCATTCCCACCAGCAGTGTACCAGGGCTCCCCTTTCTCCACATCCTCACCAGCAGGAGTCATTTGTTGATTTGTTGATGGTGCCATTCTGACAGATGTGAAGTGATACCTCATTGTGGTTTTAATTTGCACCTCTCTGATGATTAACGACGTTGAACATTTTCTCGTGTGTCTCTTGGCCATCAGCATGTCCTCTTTGGAGAAATATCTTTTTCCATTGCTTTACTTTCAGTCTCTCTGTGTGTCTTTCAATTTGAAGTCTCTTATATATAGAATATGTAAGGGTCTTGTTTTCTTATATATTCAGCCACCATATGTCTTTGATTGGAGCATTTAATCCAAACAAAGGCAGCACAAGAAAACTGCATATCAATATCTTTTATGACTATGTATGCAAAAGTGCTCAATAAAATTCTAGCAAACCCAATTCAGTAGCATATTAAAAGGGTTATACACCATGACTAAGTGGTATTTATCCTAGGAATGCAATAGTAGTTCAACATAAGGAAATCAATGTAATACACCACACTAATACAACAAAAGATAAAAACCACATGATTATCTCAGTAGATGCAGAAAAGGCATTTGATAAAATCTAACACTCATTCATGATAAAACACTCAAAAACAAGGCATAGAGGGAACTTCCTCAAAATGATATGGGCATTTATGAAAACTTCACAGCTGACATCATACTCAATGGTGAAAAACTGAATACTTTCCTCTAAGATCAGAAACAAGATATGGATGCCCATCATCACCAATGATATTCAACATTGTGGTGTTAGCCAGCAATTAATACAAAAAATAGAAATAAAAGGAATCCAAATTGAAAAGAATAACTAACATTTTCCCCAGATTATGTGATCCTATCTATGAAAGAATTTACAGGAAAACTACTAGTTAAGAAACAAACTCAGCAAAGCTGCAGGACACAAGATCAACACACACAAGTCAGTTCTGTTGTTATCCATGTGCAATGAACAATTCCAAAAGGCAATTACAAAAGCAGTTCCATTTAAATTGTGTCTAAAAGAATACTTAGGAATAAATTTAACCTAGGAGGTAAAAGGCTTGTACACTGAAAACCACAAAACACTGGTGAAAGAAACGAAGGGCCCGGTCTGGTATGGCTCAGTGGGTGAGCATCGACCTAGGATCCAGGAGATGGCGATTTGATCCCCGGTCAGGGCCCATGCCCGGGTTGCGGGCTCGATCCCGTCGGGGGCATGCAGGAGGCAGCCGATCAATGACTCTCATCACTGATGTTTCTATCTTTCTCTCTCCCTCTCCCTTCCTCTCTCACTGAAATCAATAAAGATTTAAAAAAGAAAAGAAACGAAGGAAGACCCAAATCAATGAAAAGATTTCCTTAGTTCATGGGGAGGAAGACAATATTGTTAAAATGTCAATCTCATCTAAGGCAATTACAGATTCAACACAATACCAAAGTTCCAATGGACTTTTTTTCTATTCATAAATGGAAAAGTCAACCCTCAAATTTATATGAAATTGTAAGGGGACCTGGATATCCAAAATAATATTGAAAAAGAAGAAAGTTGGAAGACTGAGATTTCCAGATTTAAAAACTTTTAACAAAGCTATAATAATCAAAATGGTATGGTACTGGCACATGGACAGATATATAGACAATGGAATAAAGTTTAGAGTATACAAATAAACCCATATATGTACAGCCAACTGAGTTTTTCATCATCACATGGTACTTGGACAGCCAGATTTCCACATGTACAAGAATGAAGTTGGACCCCTACTTCACACTATATATAAAAATAATTAAAAACTGATCAATAACCTAAATATAAGAACTAAAACCATAAACTCTTAGAAGAAAACAGAGGGTAAATATGCATTACCATGGGCTTGTCAATGGATTCTTAGATATAGCACCAAAAGCACAGTAGCAAAAGAAAAACAAATTGAATTTCATAAAAATTAAAAACTTTTGTGCATTAGAGGAAGTGAAGAGTCAATCCACAGAGTGGTAGAATATCTGCAAATCATATATCTCTGTTAAAGGTTTAATATCTAAAATATATAAAGTACTCAGCAACAACAGGACTCAACAACAGGACAAATGACTCAATTAAAAATAAGCAAATGACTTGAATAGACATTTTTCCAAAGAAGATATACAAATGGCCAATAAACACATCAAAAGATGCTTATCATTTGTAATTAGGGAACTGTGAATCAAAACCACAATGAGATACCACCTTGCACCTACCTGAATGGCTTTAATCCATAAAACAGAAAATAACAAGGGTTGGTGAGGAAGTGGAGGCATTGCTCGTGGGATATAAAATGGTATAGCTTCTGTGGAAAACAGTTTGGAAATTCTTCAGCAACCTAACAAGATTATCATACAACCCACCAATTCTACTTTTAGGTATATACTGAAAAAGAATTGAAACCAGGGGCTCAAAGAAATATTGGTATACTAATATTCATTGCAGCATTATTCACAATACCCAAAAGGTAGAAACAGTCCAAGTGCCCATCAAAAGTTAAGTGGAAAAGTAAAATGTGGTATATACATACAATGGAATATTATTCAGCCAAAAAAAAAAAATGATGTTCCGACACATGCTACAACATGGACGAACCTTGAAAATACTGTGCTAAGTGAGGTAAGCCAGTCACAAAAAGACAAATATTATATGATTCCACTTACATGAAATCTCTGGAATAGGCAAACTCACAGAGATAGAAAGGAGATTAAAGGTTTACCAGGGATCAGAGATGGCAATGGGGTGTTATTGCTTAATATTTAGTTTTTCTGTTTGGGTTGATGGAAGAGATTTGGAAACAGATAGTTGTGAAGATTGGACAACAGTGTGAATATTATTAACACTACTGAATTGTACACTTAAAATGGTTAAAATGATATGTTATATATATATATGTTTTACCACAATAAATTTTTTTAAAATAGGAGTTTATAAAAATGAATAAAAGTATTTTACCTGTAGCATGATGCAATTGAAAATAATATGATTAGAAAGTATGCCCAATAAAACAAAGGGATCACTGTCGTAGAACTTTTTTCAAATTCCAGTTGTCTAGAAAGTGATGTAAAGTAGACCACCTGCCACAAAAATGTACTCAGATAAATAACTTTTAATTATAATATTTGAGAGTTACAAACACTATTGAAACACTATAGCTTACTGATTTAAAAAAAGTGTTCAAATTCATTAAAAGATCAAAATACATGAATTATGATTTTAGAATATAGATTTGCTTCTTCCCCAAAATTTCTGGAATGCTTTTCAAAGTTTCTTACAAAATTCCAAAGTTTAAAATTTCTGAATATACAAAATCAAATTTTACATAAAACTGTGAAATCATTAATAACTAAAGAAATTGTGGCTTCTTCTATATTTTCATTAGGTTGTTACTTTTTACTATTTCAATTGCATAAATGTAATTTCAGAAAGGCCTGGTATTCAAAGGCTTTTTCCAGTGGGTGTCTCACTTTGCCAGGCTACTCAGAAGTATTAGTAGGTTTGCTGGTCCAATAATTACTGAACAGTTAATATGGCCCTGGCACTATGCTATAATTTACTTGAAAAAAATGCTGAGCTAGTTATCTTTTTCAGTAACACCATGGAACACTTGCTTAAAGGTTTGTTTTTGTTTTATTCCAGTGAACTTCAAATTTTAGGGGGCTCTTAGAAACAGCAAAGGCTTTAACTAAAAGTAAGCATTTCTAGGTAATTGTCTGGAAAACCAATCCCCAAAACTAAACCTAAAGACCAATGTCTGTACTGAACAAACCTACCTTGAGGATGTGGGATTTGTGTTTTACACCAGAATATTAACAAGGATCTAAGATTTGTGGCATCCTTTAGTGTGTTAAAGAAAGTTGGATTAAGTACCAAATATAGTAGCACATGACCAGCTTCAATTCAAGGACTCCACCAAATACTCAGGGAGTGCTACTATCTATGATCTTTGGAACAAGTCTTTTTATCTCCTCACCCCTCCCTTTCTCCTGGCCTCCCTGTCAACCCCAGCTGCCACATACCCGGATCATCTTCAAGCCCAAACTCTCTTTCATATAGCTAAATTGGTTCAGGAAATGAATCAGCCACATCTTGCTATGCTCATCCTCTCCTTCTTTGGTCTTCAGGTAATACTGCAACCGCATGGCTCTGGCCTCCAGGAGTAACTGGTCCTTTCCAACCTGGTTGCCTAAGACGGTTCCACCAAGGGTGCCAGCCATGGAGACGCGCCGACCATTTTGGTGGTAGATAGGAAAGGTGATGCTTCTCAGGTCGAGGTTCTTGTCCACCTGCCAGGCAAACAGGAGTGGGTTGGAGGGCACGCAGAAGCCCCGGTTCTTGGCACACACATGATTGTAGAGGATCTGGGTTCCATCTTCCTGTGTCACATTTAGAGCCTGCACTGCACTGTCGAATTTGCTAACTTCTGATAAGATTTCTTGTTCCAGAAGGGAGTCAGAGTGGGAGACCACTAGAACAGAAGCAAAATTGACCTCAGTGCTTATCCTGGAGATGGAGAAGTATTGAGAGTTACTAGTGGTGAAATGTCCCTGCACAAAGAGTCGTTCAGCCTTGGCCGGGCTCCCGATCGGGGTATACTGTTCCTCGAGGTCCTCTTCTTTATCCTTGGGCAGGTAAATCAAGCCAGTGCTCAGGGCGGACGTCAGCAGTATGGGCACCAGCAGGAAGACCCATGGGTGCGAGCCCACCTTCCATCCCAGCCACTGGAAGGCCCGGGAGAGCGGACCCTCTAGGCAGTTGGTTCGGCAACGGCAACGGCGCCTCGGAGACACTTCAACTGATGTCTGTAATGAGGGCACAGATAAATCCCGCCCCGCTGAATGTGACTCCTTTGTCACTGGTGGCTCTGCAAGCTTGTCTGAAACCTGGTTCAGCTCTGGTTTCAGGGCTGGGAGTGGTGCTGCCTTCAGATCTGCCCCTTCATCCAAGTCTGATCCAGGCCCTGACTGCTTCAGCCGGGACTCTGGTTGTTGCTTCTCTGTGCCAGCCTCAGAGGTATTGAGACTCATTTCCATGAAGGAAAGGCCACGATCTCAAACACCTCATCCAGTAAGCTGCTAGGTGAGCGCCTCTCTCCAGCTCAGCCAACGGTTTCCCAACGGTTTCCCAACGGTTTCCTGGAGATTCTAAGTCTGAACAATGCTGCTCCTGCCTGGATGCTGGAGCTTCCAATGGGGAGCAGGTGACTCACAGTCTTACTAGCCCCAAATGGGTCCTCTCAGAGTTCAGTTAATAGAAGATACACTTCAGTCACCCTCTGACAGAGCTGCTCCCAGGGGTTTCAAGTTTTGGTGCCTCAGAGAGGGAGGGCTGAGATTTTTTTTGAAAATTGAATTTATTGGGGTGACAGTGGTTAATAAAATTATATAGGTTTCAAGTGTACAAATCTATAATACATCATCTGTATTTGTACTGCGTGTTCACCACCCCAAGTCTCCTTCTGTCACCATTTATCGCCCCCTAACCCTCTTTTACCTCCCCCCAACCCCTCTTTCCCTCTGGTCATCACCATACTGTTGTTTGTGTCTGAGGGTTTTTTTGGTTTGTTTTTTTGCTTAATACCTCAAATGCTATGACAGAAGAGTAAAATGGTGAGTTGTCACGTGTATGTGTGTGCAACCTTATATATAGAAGAATCAGGACTTTCTTTTTAAGCAGCTCACAGAAGTCTCCTTAGAGCTGCTTAGATAACTGTTCATACATTTTTTTGACCTACGATTTTTCTTTAGTCCCTAATCTTTTGAGGAAAACCCTGTCATATTTGAGAACCTGAACTTTTAGTAGTTCTCTTGCCACTTGGAAAGAAAAACATGAAAGGTCAAGAAGAGAAGAAAGGCTTTGAGAAACTGTGTGATAAGTGACATCTATTCATTTTTATCCTGTTGGGAGAATCACATTCATGTAACATATGCCACTGATTTAAAACAGGTGGACACAGTGTTAGAAAATGGTAGGAATATTAGAAATTTGATTCTTAGCAGATTTTGGCCTCTCTGTGAAGTCAGTATCAGCGTCTGAGGGCATAGATGCATTTCACTCAGAAGTGGCTTGAATTTGGGGTTGGGATCAGGGGTTTACTGCAGAAAGATTGGAGTCAGGACAGGAGAGGAAAGCAGGGAGATGGGACTGGAGCAGACTCTAAGGATGGCAGAGGTGAAAGCAAGGGCAGGCAAGTTGGACTTGAGGGTCTCCTGGATTAAAAGGCAGAATAAGTGGGAGAAAGGGCTGCTGGGAGGAAGGTATTTAATTAAATTGAATTCTACCTTAGCCAGCCCCTGGGAAGTGCTGACACAGACAGAAGGACAATTGGCTCGGGGATGCAAACTATTGTATAAATTATACTGAGTAACACATGGGAAAGGTCTCAGACTTGTCCCTGATACATAATGAAAATTCAATTAGTATTATTTTTCCTCTCCTTTCTTCTCTTGATGATGCTACCAGGTGGCACACAGGAAACACTGTATTTGCTTGGGCCAAAAGCATCATCGGGACAAGACTGCCTCAGCAGCATCTCCAATTCAGGTAAAAGTTGAACTCAATGTGTGAAATGGCTGAGTGAGAAAGATCGCAGTCACAGACCAGGAGAGAAATAAAGCCGCAGCCTTAGCTGGGTTAAGAAAGAAATAATAGGGGTCTCATTTACCTTGGGGGAGGCAGGAGTACCTGGAGGCCCCAAGCTAATAATCCCAGGGGCCATTCCCTGAGCTAGCGACTGTGAGAGGCATAATAAGCCATTGAATTCCCTGGTTTTAGCATCAGACCTGACGTCCAGGAGCTGCTCAGGAACATTTGTTGAAAGAATGAATAAAGGCTCAAAGTGGTGACTCTCCTCCTCTACAACCCAGTGGGGTCTTGCTGGCAGCACAGGATCGCTGGGTAAGAACCTATGTTCTCCCTCAAATGCCAACTAGCTGAATGGCCCTGGGCAGCAGCCTTCACTCCATCAATAGCTTTCAAATTTCTACCTCAAGGAACAGTAAGAAAATACGTATTACATGGTTGACCCAACACATACATATTTAAATGAAACAAAAGATTTACAGAACATGCTCTTACTATGTGTAATGTACTGGTATTTTTACTTTATTTCATTTTTAGAAAAAGCAAGCTTTGACCCAATACATCAATTTTTGGACCCATTAATTAGCAACCCAGAGTTCCTCCTAACCCTCCTTCCCAAAGAAACTGGGATAAATGAAACGTATGGGCTTTGAAAACCTTTGATTTTATCTTCTGTGCTGTTAAACTGTATGTAAGCATCTATTCCATTGACTTCAAAGTCCATTGTTGCCCAGACGGGCGTGGCTCAGAGGTTGGGCATCGACCTGGGATCAGGTGATCGGGGTTCGATTCCCAGTCAGGGCACATGCCCGTGTTGCGGGCTCAATCAATTACTCTCTCATCATTGATGTTTCTCTCTCTCTCTCTCCCTCTCCTTTCCTCTCTCTGAAATCAATAAAGGTATATATATA